GATAGATAGATAGATAGATAGATAGATAGATAGATAGATAGATAGATTACTACTGCTATATACAACTGTAGGCCCTAAGTCAAGGGTCTTCAAACTTGACAGCTTTAAGACCTGTGGACTTCAACTCCCAGAATTTCTTCTCCAGTCATGTTAGCTCAGGAATTCTGGGAGTTGAAGTCCACAGGTCTTAAACTTGTCAAGTTTGAAGACCCTTGCCCTAACTCTATCCAACCAATTAATTAAAAAAAAAAGATCTTTGAATACTCCTTGATGAATATTTTTGTATTTTTCTGTATCCGTTTTTCTGCTTTGGAATATTCTAATAAAAAACTCAAAGTAGAAAAAAGTGACAAATTCAACCAATGTTGGGGGAGATGCATATTTTCATTGTGAAGAGGACCAAATGGGAAAGTACTGTATCCCTAATATCAATACAATGGATATCCGTAAGGTGCTTTTTCAAGAGGCCACTGGATTCTCTGGTTTTTCTTTGAAGATGTTTTGCTTCTCCTCCAAGAAGCTTCTCAGCTCTGACTGAATCATTCCCCAACATCCAGTCAGAGTTGAAGAAGCTTCTTGGAGGAGAAGCGAAACATCTTCAAAGAAAAACCAGAAAGTCCAGTTGCCTCCTGAAAAAGCACCTTTGAGACAACCATACCTTGGATGACGGAGAATCTCCATAGACGACACGGAGAATAGGCATTGTAAGATTCTCAAAACCCAATATAACGAAAACATTTCCAGAAATAGTTACTTGTTCATCTCAGGCATACAAGCAAGTCCACCCTTTCCAGGCCTTCTGAGAATTTGTATTCTCCCCACTTAGTTAATTGCCTAATAAATCGTGTTTAATGTTTAGACACATGTTCCTAGGGATATAAACTATGGACTAAAGTAATTGCTTTATGCCATTCCCGGGGACAAATTATTTATCTGTTGATCCTTTGTCCATCTGGAAAGATGTTCCTTGAAATCAGCAACGAACAGGAAAGTACTATGTCCCTAATATTCAAAGGCAACTGTACTGAGGTATTAATGCCAGAATAGTTATCACACTCCACCTTGGAAGATTGAATCCATCTGTATCCAGTGCAGACAATGTGAATCACATGCCACTCTTAAAATAGAGGTAGACACTAAAGAATGGGTTGACTGCCAGTTGCATTCATTAAAACAAATATTCATCCTAGATTCTTTTTCCCTACCTTTGACATCATGTTTTTCAGTCAAGACTTCAAGCAGACAAGATTTGTTTTCCTATAAAAGCCAATAAACAAAAAGAAAGAGAATAATATCTTGTCACATGCTTGGTCAAAGCAGAAAAGAGCACTGTAAGACTATTTTTGTTTGAGGGGAGGGAAATCTTTTAATGTGACGCTGTTTTAGCCAAACCACCAGCTTCTTGGTTACAGGATACAGATCGACATTCAAGGTAGATGGTCGTATAGAAAAGCTGCCATTTATTTTATAAAGCCAAAATTATAGCTTCTCTTCCTTCCTCTTCTTAATTTATCGGCATAAAAATTCTGAAACTCTACTATTTAAGAAAAACAGAAATCAAATGCATCATTTCACTATCCCAAAGTCAATGTAACACAGTGGATATGTATTGTAAGATTCTCAATATAACAAAAACATTTCCGGAAATAGTTACTCATCTCAGGCATGCAAGCAAGTTCAACTTTTTCAGGCCTTCTTCCAGGTATTCCCCCAATTTAGTTAATTACCTAATAAATCATGTTTAATGTTTGGACACATGTCCCTAGAGATATAAACTATGGTCTAATCTAATTGCTTCCTCATGCCCTTCACAGGGACAAATTATTTATCTGTTGATCCTTCGTCCATCTGTATCCGTTTTTCTGCTTTGGAATATTCTAATAAAAAACTCAGAGTAGAAAAAAGTTACAAATTCAGCCAGTATTTCCTAGTCAAACCACAGACAATTACAATGATCTAATACATATGGATTTTACAGAAGACAATGTTGAAAAAGCACTGCTCAATCTAAAACCATCTCTATCTATTGGACGGAGTGGAATATGTGCCTACTTCTTAAAAGAGCTATCCACTGCCATAGCCGAACCTCTAAGCATAATCTTTGAAAAATCTTTCAGGACCGGCTCCTTGCCATAACTATGTTCACAAGCCACGGTCATCCCCATCTTCAAAAAGGGAGACCTCCAGCCTAGTTGAAAATTACAGACCAATCTCCTTATGCTGTGTCACCTGTAAAGTCATCATCCTCTACTTAGAAACCATCCAATCCATCATCCTCTACTTAGAAACAAACAACCTACTCTCTAATAAACTATTTGGTTTCAGGAAAAAACTATCCTGTAATCTGCAACTCTTACACTGCAAAAACATATGGACTACACAACTCGATCAAGGCAAAGCAATAGACATAGACAGACTTCTGTAAAGCCTTTGATTCAGTGATACACGACAAACTACTCCTAAAACTAAAATCTTATGGTATCTCTGGACAACTGCATAACTGGATAGAAGCATTCCTGTCAAACAGACAACAAATGGTCAAAATTGGAAGTGTCCTATCAAATTCTGTACCTGTCAACAGTGGTGTCCCCCAAGGCAGTGTTCTAGGACCAACTCTCTTCATACTCTACATAAATGACCTCTGTGATCATATTAAGAGCAACTGCGTTCTTTTCGCTGATGATGTAAAGCTGTTCAATACCACAGACAATACTGCTACCCTTCAAAAAGATCTTGACTATGTATCAGAATGGTCAAACAAATGGCAACTTCAAATCTCAACAAATAAATGCTCTGTCTTACATATTGGCAAAAAAAAAATCAGAAAATAAAATACAACCTAAATAGTCAAGATCTTGTTGATGATCCAAGCTCTGTAAAGGACCTTGGAATACTCATCTCTAATGATCTAAGTGCTAGAGCCCACTGTAACTATATAGCCAAAAAGGGGTTCAGAGTTGTTAACCTAATCTTACGTAACTTTTTCTCTGGTAATATTACACTACTAACTAGTGCATACAAAACATTTGCTAGACCAATACTCGAATACAGCTCATCAGTCTGGAACCCACATTACATATGTGATATTAACACAGTTGAGAAAGTCCAGAAATATTTCACAAGAAGAGTTCTCCACTCCTCTACTCATTGCAGAATACCTTATGCCACTAGACTCAAAATTCTAGACCTAGAAAATCTACGCCTCCTTCGGTCCGATCTAAGTATAGTATATAAAATCAAATGTCCTACCAGTCAATGAATACTTCAGCTTCAACCATAACAACACAAGAGCAAACAATAGATACAAACTCAAGCTTAACCGCACCAAACTTGACTGCAGGAAATACGACTTCAGCAAGAGTGGTCAATGTCTGGAATACTCTACCTGACTCTGTGGTTTCTTCCCCAAACCCCAAAAACTTTAAGCTTAGACTTACTATTGACCTCACCCCTTTTCTAAGAGGTCTGTAGGGGGCGTGCATAAGCACACCAACGTGTCTACCGTCCCTGTCCTATTGTTTCTTTTATTTTTTATTTTTCTTATATGTATCCATGTATTCATAACTATGTTTTTACTTATACCTATTATCTTGAAAGCAATTGACAAAAATAAATAAATAAATAAAATAGATTTGGAGAAAGAAGGAAGGAAGGAAGCAGAGGTAGTATTCAGCAGGTTCTGATCAATTCTGGAGAACTGGTAGTGGAAATTTTGAGTAGTTCGGAGAACAAGCAAATACCACCTCTGACTGGAGATTTTACAGTCTCCAGTCCTTCCCCTGCCACACCTATCAAGCCACACCCACAGAACTGGTAGTAAAAAAATTTGAATCCCACCACTGGAAGGAAGGAAAAGGAGAGAAAGGAGTAAGAGAAAGGCAGGCAGGCAGAAAGAGAGAGAGAGAGAAAGAAGGAAAGAAAAAAAGAAAGAATACTACTGCTACTACGGCTGTAGGCCACAGGATTAATCAACCCACTTAAAAAAACCTGTTTGAGTACTTCATAATGGATATTTTTTGTATTTTTCTGTGTCTGGTTTTCTGCTTTAGAATTTTCTACTGAAAAAAACCTCAGAGTAGAAACAGGCAGGGAAGGTCATGAAACGAATCAAAACTCAATTAACATATGTCTCCAAAATGTCTCAGTAACAGAAACATTGGGCTCAATTCGTAGTCGTAAGTTGAGAACTACCTGTACATTGGGAAGAGTTAGCGGTAAAATTCAAAAATATTTACTTGCAATTTTGCAATTTTACTAGCTTATAATTGTGTATAAGTGCCGGGGAAAGAAACGGGATAAGGATATAATATATATCATCCTTTTTCTACTGAGGATGGATTTTCTTGTACATACCCACATCAACCAATACGATGGCCTATGAGTATAGGGGGAAATCATCTACATTTGAGGTATATTCTGCAGATTGTA